TGAAATCGAATGGAAAAGTGAGATCTGCTTATATGATTGTCAGAAAATTCTACTACCATTCCTTCGTCACCCTAAACGAAATGGAGGGAATACATCTCACATGTAAAATTAAATGAAAAGTGAGATCTTTTCATATGATTGTGGGAAAATTCTACTACCATTCCTTCGTCACCCTAAAGGAACCTGGGTTAATACATCTCATATGTGAAATTAAACAGTGTGAATACATCTCATATTACGACATTACTTGTTTTCGTCTATAAGCCGGTTTTCTTGACTACCCTTAAATCGTATATATGAGAGGCATTGTCTCTGTTTCGTGTAAACTTATTACGGTACTGGTGGATGAATTTCTCCACAAACATCTACTGATATGATGTGTTAAATAACTGAGCTACCACTTCCGTGATCACTTTACACAAAAATAGAGCGTGTACACCTCATATGTACGATCTAGTGATAGTCTGTAAAACCTGGTATAAAAGCAAAAATAACCAATTCTTATTGTAGTACGTGAGCTTGCCGTCTTTCGGAGCACTTTTGTAAGCATTTACAAGTTAACGACTCAAATTGATCCGAGCCGATCACCAAAGCAGGAGGGCAGCACCCTCTAACCTTCTGTAGCTGGTCTGATTTTCCACTCTATTCCTCCAAAATCCCCAATCTCGCAACGTCAGACGAGCCTGAAAGAGGCGAGCCAGCGACTGAACCACGCCGAAGCAGATCTGCTGTTGAAGACACGCGAACTGGCCGACTCGCGCTCCACCAACGAGGAGATGGCCCGGCAGGTGGCTCGAGCCCAGGAGACGGCGTCGGTCCGCGGCAACGAGCTGCAGGCGGTGCGCGGCGACTTGGCCGCGGTGCAGGCCAGTCTCAGCGAAGCGAGGCGTCTCTCCGAGGTCGCCGAAGCAGAAGCGGTGCGTGCCCGTGACGAGGTGGCCCGGGTCGACCGACAGATACACGCTCTGCAATCCGAGCTTCAGGTGGGCCCTCACCTTCTCCCTGCGCCCCCAAATACCGCCAACACCGCACCTCGCACTTTTACTCCCGCTCTCACTCTCATTCTTGTTCTCACTCTCACTCCCACTTCCAAACTAAATATAACTCCCTCTCCCAGTTTTAATCCAACTTTAACTTCAATTCTCACTCTCACTTTCACTCTTACACACACTCTTACTCTTAGTCTAATTCCCACTCACACTAACACTCCCGCATTTACTCCAGCTCTCACTCTTATTCTTTTTCTCACTCCAACTTCCAAACTACATGTAACTCCTTTTCCCAGTAATTAATCCAACTTTAACTCCCATTTTCACTCACACTCTTACTCATAGTCTAATTGCCACTCACACTCATACTCCCGCATTTACTTTAGCTCTCACTCTTATTCTTGTTCTCACTCCCACTTCCAAACTACATGTAACTACTTTTCCCAGTAATTAATCCAACTTTAACTTCCATTTTCACTCACACTTTTACTCGCGCTCACACTCTTACTCTTATTATGATTCATACTACCACTCCCACTCCCACTTTTACTCCCGCTCTCACTCTCATTCTTGTTCTCACTCCCACTTCCAAACTAAATATAACTCTCTCTTCCAGTTATCAATCCAACTTTTACTCCCATTCCCACTCTCACTCCCGCTCACACTTTCACTCTTAGTCTAATTCCCACTCAGACTCACACTCCCGCTTTTACTCCGGCTATCACTCTCATTCTTGTTCTCACTTCTACTTCCAAAATACGTCTAGCTCCTTCTCCCAGTTTTAATCCAACTTTAACTTCAATTCTCACTCTCTCTTTCACTCTTACACACACACTCTTACTCTTAGTCTAATTCCCACTCACACTCACACTCCTGCATTTACTCCAGCTCTCACTCTTATTCTTGTTCTCACTCCCACTTCCAAACTACACGTAACTCCTTTTCCAAGTTATTAATCCAACTTTCACTTCCATTTCCACTCTCACTTTCACTCCTGCTCACACTCTCACTCTTATT